TGCTCTCAGTGACATTTTTCCTGTATTGGCTGTTTGGGCTCCAAGTTACAACAGAGAGAGAAGTTCCTCAGGGTTTCATGGTACATTATATCAAAGGTTATCAAGTGGCTTTGAACATCAGTGATAATTCTCCCTAAACTGTGACTAAAACTAGGCTAAAAGGAATTAAAGCTTCAGTCATTTCTGGTGATTAATTAAGATAGTCTTGAAAAGTTTTTCTGTTTGATATTTCTTGCCACTAATTTATTGTTTCAAAGTCTGACATCCTGTATTTTAACTTCCTATTTTCTCTGTGAATGTTATGTTGCATAATGGATAGGTCTGTTGTATTGGATACAATTATAAAGATGAATCTCTTAAAAATATACCCTGTCCCTGTTAGGTCCAAGGCAAGAATAATTTTCAAACCGTACTAGACCATCACCAAGCATATTCAGAAGTCCAGAGTTGCGATACCCTTAGCACAGTTTTGTTGAAGATATCCTACATATTGTTTCTCTCCATTTGAAATAATACCAACTCTCTTACCCTTTACAGGTCAGATTTTCCTGGCTTTAACCATTTTTGTGATTTTCTTTGAGCTCTCTTAACATGTTATACCTCCATCGATCTTTAAATGACAAGGTACCAGGGAAAGAGTCTGGCCCATGAAGAAGGGAACCAGAGAGTAATTTGGGGATCCAAAACCTGGAAATAACGCCGTTACTCGGCCTTTTTACCTTTAAAATATAACCTTGCATGGCGATGCCTCTGGGACTATTTTGGCAACCCAACAGATCCACTCAGAAAGTAGGAGCCTTGGAGCCGGCCCCATGGCTTAGTGGTTAAGTGCGCATGCTCCACTACTGGCGGCCCGGGTTCGGATCCTGCGCGTGCACCGACGCACCGCTTCTCCGGCCATGCTGAGGTGGCGTCCCACATACAGCAACTAGAAGGATGTGCAACTATGACATACAACTATCTACTGGGGCTTTGGGGGAAAAAGGAGGAGGATTGGCAATAGATGTTAGCTCAGAGCCGGTCTTCCTCAGCAAAAAAGAGGAGGATTAGCACGGATGTTAGCTCAGGGCTGATCTCCCTCACACAAAAAAAAAGAAAGTAGGAGCCTTCTTAGCCTAACCTAGAGGATACCCAATTTTGATGTACTCATTTATTTTCTTAGAACAATAGTCCTTTCTTTTATTATGAAAGAGAAACACCACCTGCTGCGGCTGGATGGTGAGACTACTTCAGATAGATTTTACTAGAAAAGAAATATATTGCCATGGGACAAAGAGCTTGAAAAAAAGAAAGGAGAAATATATTGCCAAACAAAAAGTTCTCCAGAGAACGAAGATCATAATATTACATATCAGACAAAAGATTTTTCTGAACAGAGCATGTCATTTCAGTGCCTCCTAAGGCCTCATGCCTCTTTGAGCCACAGCTCTTTCTATAAATTGAGTTCAAGAATTAATTCCATTTCACTCTCTAGTAAAAATTAGCTTGTTAAGATTCATATTGGAAGTCAACTGTGAAGAATTCTTGCAAAATAGTTGGTGTTTACTTTTTGTAAAATTAAATTAATTAGCATAACAGATTAGAGTCATTCTTGTTTTTTTTAATTTGTTTGTTTTATTTTATTTATTTATTTTTGTGTGTGAGGAAGATCAGCCCTGAGCTAACATCCATGCCAATCCTCCTCTTTTTGCTGAGGAAGACCGGCCCTGGGCTAACATCTGTGCCCATCTTCCTCCACTTTATATGGGACGCCGCCACAGCATGGCCTGACAAGTGGTGTGGCTGTGCGTGCCTGGGATCTGAACCTGGGCTGCCAGCAGCGGAGGGCGCACACTTAACCACTACGCCACCGAGCCAGCCCCAGATTAGAGTCATTCTTATGTTTCCCTTATTTCTTACTTTAAAAAAGTAATGACATCTTACAAAACTGAAATGGGGATTATAGTGGCTAGCCAGTGCCAGCATTGGTATCTTGAAAACTGAAGGCCCTCCTTTTTCTGCTAAGTTATCACTAATCTTCTCCTGTTTGATCTAAAAGAATTCCGACGCCCCCCCACCCGCAAACACACAGACACACATGAAAAATCATTTAAAAGAGAAATAAGAATGGTCAGCTTCCATTTACTCAGAACTTTTTTTTAATTTCTGAAATCTTATCTCTACGGAAATTATTGCCTAAAGTTCACTAATGATAATTATACACACGCACACGCACACATTTTAGTATTTACTATATTTCAGTGTTTTAAGCACTTCTATAAATTCACTTATTTCATCCACATAACACTCTGAGGTAGGTACTCTCATTAACCTCATGTTTCAGTTGGGGAAACTGAAGTGAAGCCACATGGCTGAAGGTGTCAGAGCCGGGATTTGAGCTCACATTCTGACTGCTCCTCAGCGTTACGCTCTGCTGCCTCTCTTGAGGCGTTCTACTCACCAAATCAAAGGAAATCCACTTGGTTTCGTTCTTGTTGAGTTGTGAATGAACAGCAATTGATGTAAACCATTCTCATCTTGAAAGTCTTCTCCTTTGCGTTGGTGACAATTATTTACTGACCCCTGCTCCATGTTGAGCACTGTCCTAGGCCCGGGGATATTTCAGTGAATAATGATCAGACAAAAATCCTTTCCCGTGTGGAGCTTACGTTCTAATGGGGAGAGACGGATAATGACAGACAATGAAAAATGAACAGAATAAAATAATTACACAGTATGTTAGAAGATGATAAATGCTATGGAAAAATAAACATCAATATATAAAGAGAGAAAGGTAGAGAGGGTCTGGGACTACCTCTTGGGGTAAGAGTACAAATTAAGTGGGGTGGTCAGGTGAGGCCCTATTAACAAAGTACTGTTTGAGCAAGGAATGAAGGAGATGGGAGATGGGCCTGGGCGTCTCTGGGGGAAGAACAGTCCAGGAAGAGGGAACACACAGGACAAAGGCTTTGCACCTGGCATGTTCAAGGAAGAGGGAGAAGGTCAGGGAGTCTGGAGGGGGTGAAGGGGAGAGAGCAGGAGACAGGGCCCGGGAAGTACAAGGGGGCAGAACAGGACCTCGCGGCTGTGCTGGGGAACCTGGCTCTTCCTTGGAGACAAGTGGGGACCCTCTGGAGAGTTTTGAGCAGAGGAGTGACCTGATCCGATGTGTGTTTTATGGGATCACTCTGGCTGTAGAGGAGGCAGAGGTGGGAGAACAGAGGGCCCTGGGATAATCCCGGTGAAAGACTGGAACAGGCGGCTTGGACAGAGGCAGCGAGGGGCTGGTGAGGACGGGGTATGTTTTGAAGGGAAAGCCAACACGATTTGATTGCAGGTGGGGTTGAGAGAAAGAGGGGAATCGAGGATGACCCCAAGGCTCTCCGCCTGATCAGCTAGAATGGAGTGACTGTTAACTGAGATGGGCAAGTCTCAGTGGAGCAGTTAGGAAAGATGAGGGGCTCAGTTTGGACACAGAACAAAAACATATATCAATAAAAACATGTTAAATATAACATTAAAAATCAAGAGTAATGTAAATGTACAGTAGTAAAGAATTGGAAGAATAAATTATGATATCTCCATACAGTGGAGTACTATGGAGACATAAAGATATTTTGCACATCTGTATATTATTTATTGATGTGACATATTAACTGAAAAAAAAAGCTGGTTATCAAATAGTACCCACGGCCCAACGACATTCCTATAAAGAAGAAAAAAGTACTATTTTTTCATAGGAAAAATAGAATACATAACAAAATTATAGTAGTAGCAGTTTGGGGTGATTTAATTTTAGTTTTTTAATATTCATATCTATTTAAAAAGTTTTGTAATAAATTTTTGTGACTAAAAAGGGAAAATACGTATTCTATTATATTTTAGTAAGATATATAAATATAATCTGAAAATAATTTATATGCGCAGAAAAAGACCTAAAGGATACATGTCCCACTGTTAATGTATTTTATGTAAATAGCAGGATCATGAGTGATTTTTATTGTCTTTTTTCTAGATTCTTCATATTTTCTCATTTTTAACAAATGACAAGTATTGCCAAGGTAATATAAAAAAAATTGTAAATTAAAAGGAAAAGTTCGCACATGGTCAGCCGGTAAATTGCCCTGTGAAGTATTGTGCCTTCATCTTACAGACTGTATTTTGGGACTATGCCACTGAGTGCAGGACCATTGTGTAGTAAGGGGAGGGGAGACCTTCTTTCCCCTGTGCTGGAAAACTGCAGGTGTACAACCAGCCCTCTGCCTGCTCTGAAAGGCACTGAGAGTAAGGAGGGGCAGGAGGAGAAGGACTTGGAAGATCACTGACCCCCTATTCCAATTTGAATAACCTTTACTTATCTTTCAGATGGTTCTTACATAAGGAGTTTAAAAGTTGCATCCTTCTTATTAAAACATTCTAGGGCCAGCCCCGTGGCTTAGCAGTTAAGTGTGCACGCTCTGCTGCTGGTGGCCCGGGTTCGGATCCCGGGCACGCACCGCTTCTCCGGCCATGCTGAGGCCGCGTCCCACATACAGCAACTAGAAGGATGTGCAGCTATGACATACAACTATCTACTGGGGCTTTGGGGGGAAAAAAAATAAATAAATAAAATCTTTAAAAGTAAAAAAAACATTTTACACACTATAAAACGTTAGGATCCGTATCACTTTTTGAAAATTCACCCATTTCTCCATTCTTGTTGGAGATGATTACTTTTCTCTTGATATCTCAAATTTTAACTTGATATACTTCCTTATTTCTGAAGCTTAAAGTATATGAAGTTTTGAATGCTGCCAAATTTAACCCAACACTCTTCAATGATTTTTTTTAATACAACTCATCCTAGGCAGAGAGGCTTTAAAAACAACTCTACAACAAGTCTGTGGTATCCAGTTTCAAATGCCAGTAGGCAGTACTGTATACGAAAATGTATTATCAGGTTCTAAGAATGTGATGTAAATATGAACTGACTGCCTAGGTGAAATGATTGATTGATGTGATTTTTGTTTTGTCATTTCAAGGGAGTGAAAAAAATAGACCCCGAACTCTATGAAAAATTTATCAGTCACAGATTTGGAGAAGAAGTGGTACATCGCATAGATCTTTGCTCCATGCTGAAGAAGAAACAAAGTAATGGTTATTATCACTGTGAGTCTTCAATTGTGATTGGTGAGTGCCATTGAAAAATTATTTATTATCTTTATTTTTGATTTCTTTAGCATCATTTTATTTTGGCAAATATTTAGGGCTGGTTATACTTTTTTTTCAATGACATTTTCCTAAATATTGTGTTTTGGGAATAATACATTGAAAATTTTGTGTTTAGAATATATTTAGTATTCATAATTATCAGTCAAGATTTAGAACTATAGTTTTTATACTTTCGTGCTTTAAATATAGTTATAATGAAGTCTTGAAATATTGATTCAAAGTGTATTTCAGTTTAATTTTATTTCATGAATATGAAGAAAGCATTTTCTCCAGTGAAGTCCTGTGTGACCACACCATCCACACCAGGCATTTTCATGTCTGCTGCTTTTAATTAGGAATAGAATGTTCCAGGCAGGAAAGTTTTACTCTGAGAAGAAGCAGCATTTGTAGGTGACCTGCAAAGATTGAAAACCTGTCCTTCAATTTCTTCCCTAAGGGAAACATGTTTTGAGGCGAAACAAAGATTCATACATAAATGCTTCTATCGTCTTCTCAGGGATATGGTGTGTGATAAGAAAGACTCATACACAATTATGTTTCCAAGTGAAAGTGTGTACACCAAATGAAGATTTTTTTTAACCAGAACAGGGCTATTCCCCTCATTCGCAATGTGAATGTATTTCAAAGGAGCCTGATCTGTTGTGATTCAAATTTACTGTTTCAAACCAGGCACTATTCTTATTAAATGTGAACCTCAAGACCACCTGATTTGTATACTTTTGAAGTAACATGAAAATACTCAAAGAAGATAAATACATGTATCTAAATATTTCAAGGTCTTCAACCAAGATATATCTCTCCACATCAGCTTGAAGAAAACCTATGGAAATATGCATCCTGAAAGAATCTTAATACTGAAGTTTATTCAAGCATTTACAAAAATGTTCAAGAGACACAATTTTATTTCCAAATTCTCACTAGAGATCTTCAGAGAAGTCATCATTTGACCCTCCAGAGATATTAGTTATCTTAAACAGAAGGTATTCAGTATGTTGTTTGAACTTTATGTTCTAAAGCATTTCAAGTCTATTTGTAGGAAGACTTTTGTGTTTTCAGAATCTCTGTAACAGAGAGATGTCTTCCATGGAAGCTTTGATGAGGACCAAACATTTCTGCTTAGGTTCATTGTAAAAGGCAAATTTAATCCTTCTTGTGTAATACAGATTTTGTCTAGCTTTCCATATCTTCTCTGTAATTACTTTAAGCCAACCTTGAAGGAGAACTCAGTGCTTCATTGCCTCTCCCACTAAAAAAACAAAATAAAGAAAAAAGCAAGCAATGTGTAGATTTTATGGAAGATGCTGTGGGACTGCATTATGCAGCCTATAGCTTACATTATCTGTGCTGCCATTAGACAGCTCTGTTCAGCTTCCCCCAAAACACTATGTTCCAGCCACTGAATTTTCTCTTTTATTGCTCTTTTCCAGCTTAGTCTCTAAAATTCCCCTCATTTTAGTCAATTTCTGTAGATTTTCCCCTCAGGCTTCTTTGTCTCTCACCTTTTCTAATTCAGAGCAATTGAGCTTCTTTCAGACTCCACCAGTCTTGTAGCCCCACACCCATCATTTAATGTTATTTAAAAAAAATGGTTTTTGCCTATTACGAATACTCTATTTTTTTCTGTCGTATGTTGTGATGCCAGTATGAGCTTTAAAATAATATGTGCCACTAAAATGATAATGTTATGATTACCAATTTTATACACACTAGAGTTCTTTTATTTGCTATGGATAACTACTGATTTTTTTGATCTTACCTGAATTTTGTAACAGACAATATTTAGCAGGATTTGGGACTCTTTTCTTTGTGAATTTCATTTCTTAATCAGATTTAATTGGTTTACGTTGGTTTGGCTTCTCTTTGATTGGATCCTAACTCAAATTTAGTGTCTGTTTTCTGAATCTTGAACCAGCGTTTTACTGTATGCGTTAATAGAGGGGGACAGATTTCAGATCATGGGATAGTTTGTAGTCAGAGTGCTAGGGTTGAAGTTGGGTGTCAAGGACTATGGGAACCTCTTGAAATTGTTTATGAAACTTTGTATGTAGGTGCATATGTGAATTTTTCTGGGGAGAGAATTTATTTGATTTGCATATTTCCTATCTCTTAATTTGTTAATGGTGCATTCTTGGAAAGTGCTAGATTCTAAATCACCGATTTTCTTTTCGACTGTCTCAATTATATCATTTAGGGCATCTTTTTTTTTTTTAAATATCAATGACTGTATGCTTCATTTCCAAGATTTCCATTTGATTCTTTTTTGTATTTTCCTGTTCTTTCTTTGCTCCATAGGTACTGTTCTTTCATTTATCTCTTGGAGGATTTCAATATAGTTAATTTTTAATGTTCTTTTATTATTTTTTAAATCTCTAGTTCCTTGGATATGAATTCTTCTATTGTTGGGTCTTTTGTGACACTCAGTTTCCTCTGGTGCTTTTTAAGTTTTTTCAAGAGTGCATCTTATTGTGCTTGTTTCCCCCTCCTAATCCCGTGTGTGGCTTTGCAGCTGTCTCAACCCCAGTCCCACAGGGCACACTGCTTTGAGCTGGGTTAGGGACTGGAACAGCAAGCCGTCCTCGTCCGTCAAGCATTGGAGTTCCTTCTTCTTCTGTCTCTTACCAGTTTGTGAGGTTTTTTTAGAGTAAAGATAATTAGCCCTTTGCTATATTGGCGTCACATATTTTCCAGGTTTTATTTTGCATTTAATTTTGGTCACAAGGTATTTTTCATATTAAATGTTTTAAATTTTTGTTAAATTATGGATTAAAAAATGTTCTCCTGTGATTTCTTTAATTATTATGACTAGAGTCATCTCCAAGCCAAAGATTTGATATGTATTCATTCATATTTTCTTCTTGTTTTTGCATTTGAGCTTTTAATCTACCTGGTTTGTTCATTAATATGATTACTAAGACACAGAGGATTAACACAGAAATCCAGTTACAAATAGTGAGTGTGAAGTAGGGGTTTCGTTTTAGGAATAGATTTTTATAATATTTTTTACACCCCACTAACCTTACTGTGTGTTCCAAGGATTGCAAATTAGCAGCCATTCGTGTTGTACTTGACTTGCACAGGGTTTTTTGTTTGTTTGTTTGTCTAATTTGAATAACTTGCCAATATTGGGCTGATTTTATGTAAAAAAAAATCTGAGTTTCTGCCGCCTTCCAAACAATAGGAAATGTAGCCACATTGATCCCACATTCTTGCCTGGCAGTGCTTTCCTGGATGGGCAGTAGGCACAGTGACCCTTTATCACTCCCCCTTACTCTGTTGTTCTTCTTATACAATTTGCTGGATTTGGTCCCCCTACCTGCTTGGCTCCTGAAGGCATCTGAGTTTGGATGCCCTGATAGCTGTTGCTGTTCCCTGTGCCTACTGCACCTGTCCAGGCTGAACATTTTCCTCTCCATCTGCTGCCATTGTACACCTTGGTGTGGAGTGTTGAGGGAGTTTGCTAGGATACGGAGGCAACATTCATATTTTCAGATACAAGAAAAGGTACTACATTTTAGTTCTCTTATAATCAAAACTTTGGGTGATATTATGCCTACTTAATATTGGGCTACAACTCCTTGCAAACCTAGCTGTACTAACCAGCTAAAATCCCCCCCCCGCCAAAAAAAGTAAAAAACCAATTCTTCCTGGTGAAACCAGGAATGAAATACGGGTCAGATAGCCTAGAGTGGTGAATGCTGTTCTCTGTGAGCTACTTACTGGAGTTGGGTGAATTACTTTTTCTCAGGCAGCTATGTTCCATTTATATTTCCTTAGGGAGGGTAATTGACTAAAGGACACCGTTTGTAAAATTGATGAGCAATTTACTGCTTGCAAAGACTGGTTTACTGTCAGCTGTCAGACATATCTTATAGGAGGCACTGGGGAATTTGGAAAGGTCTAGAAGGTGCTTTTTTGCAGGCCAGTATATTTCTTTATAACTTTTGCAAGCAGAAGTGGAATGATTTTCTGGGGACCCCAGCTGTTTTTCGGTTTAATAATAATTATTCATCATTAATTTAGTGAATGTTATTGAGTGTGTACGATGTGTGTACTCCTCTCTTGGGTATCATGAGATACAGAGAAGTATAAGATGTAGTCCTTAAGAGTAATGCAGAGTCACTGGGCAGCTAAGACTACATCTGAGAAATGAAGAGGGAGGAGGAATAGATGAGTAGGGCTTTGTCTATAACAATAATGGGCTTTGATAGGACACAGTGGAAGAAGCTTATAGTTTTACCTTTCTAGAAGAGTGTGGGGGTGAGGAATGGCAGAGTTCAGAAGAATAGGATGAGAGTGAGGAGCAGACTGATGGTTAGTAGAGAAAGGACACTTTCCAGGAGCAATAGGTATGATTTGCAGAGGGCAATAAGCAATGGGTTAGGAAGCAGAGTGGAGGCAATATTAGTGACAGGAGGCACCCTACAGAGACTGTAGTGGTTGAATGTACAGTCTGGTTAGCTAAGGAAGCCATGGAGGGGGAGATTGCTAGGTTTGTGTACGAGGAGTTGGTGAGGGAGGTAGGAAAGGAGGTGGGCTCAGTCACGTATACCAAGGCAATGAATATGTCATAAAGGAGACTGAGTGGATAGATGTGGGATAAAAAGAGGGTGAAGTTTAATACTCGACTTAATGACACAGAATTGGATCCTAAAGATAAGACTTTCAATTAGTTTCAGACTGTAGCACAGAGGCAATGAGGGGGTTAGTGTTGGGCCAACCATTGGCTCAAATAGAAGTATACAGGTCTGCACAGATATGGTGACAGAAGAGGAAAAGGGTTGTAGTCAAGTAAGTAACAGTCATTGTACCTATAGTCAATTCAGTCTGTGTCCAATGCCAAACAGCTAGAAACCAGACTCAAGACTTTACGGGCTGAAATACTATAAGATTCTGAGTGACTTAAGTCAATGAATTTGTTCTATCCGAATGTCCCTGCTTTTTGGGACTCACCCTTAAGA